TAACTAAAGGCCTGTTAACCAACCACGGGCTCCCTGGTTATTTTGGGGGGTTGGAGGAGAGACCAGTTTATTGCTTAGAAGCCTAGTATATCCACTGTAGGAAGGGGTTTGAGAGAAGAAATCCCTTCCAAATACCATGGTAGGCTGGTGATTGGGCCCCAAGGGGTTTAGGTGGGGTCAGATGTGCATTTACAGGTACAAGAGAGATGGGCATCTGTCCTGAGACCAGTGCAGCCCCCCTGGTGTGGCCCTCACCGTCCACACTGGAAGAGAAGCCCTGAGTTACAGCGGGGCCAAGGGATGTTACTGGGGGGGTGGGTGCTGGGTGGGGGCCTCACCTGGCTCACAGACCATGTGGCAGAGGCCACAGCTCAGAAACGTGGAGGTCAGGAACGCTCCTGACATTTGTTCTGCACCTCCGTGTGGGACAGGAGGCTGGCAATGTCCCCGGGAGGCACTCCTAGGAAGGTCTCCAAGTAGAACATACAGCCAAAGGGCAGAGGGAGGGACACTGTGGCTTGACAGTCAGTGCTGTCTCTCTCCACTCAAAATCTGGATCGGTGGTTTGACATTGAGGACCCGCAGCTGCTGCTTCTGTAGTTTAAGAGCCTGAGCGTCCCTACGGGTCTGCCCCCAGGTCGGGTTCGTGCTGCGTTTCCTTCGTGCGCTTGTTTCTCACGACTTGCCCACCTGGATGGCGGAGGGGCTCAAGGGAGGAGAGCCGAAAGGGTTGTGGTGGGAAAGAATGAGGATGGGGCAGCAGGCAGCTCTGCCTCCCAAGCCCTCAGTGGCTGAGCAGCCTGTGCTCCCGGGCGCCTTACTCTCCTCTCGGGTCCGCAGGTCCTCCTGTGCCGGGGGAGATGCCTACCTTGCAGGGTCACTGAATGTCTAGTAAGCGAGTGCCCAGGGACGAGTCTGGGACGTGTGAGATGCTTCGTAAACTAAAAGGTAAGCGAACAGACAGACTTCCTGCTAAATCTGACACCCCATAGATATTTCCTTCTGACCCAGGACAAGCTCAGCTTCAAGAATTGCAGCTGTAGGGAAGTTTGGTGGAAAAGAACTTGTGAAATCTGCCCTGGCAGGAAGCACGGAGCTTGGAGACCTGTCTTTGTGCCGCGATCAGGAAGTGTGTGCAGGAAAGAACGTGTAGGGGCTGTTTTCTCTGCACTGACGCCCTGCGAGCTCCCCGTGTCCACTGCCAAACCTCTTCAGGGTCTAAACAAACAAGGTCGAGTGCAGTATATGAAACAGCCATGGGAGGGTCTTTTCATCCTGGATTGAACAATTTCAAACTTTCATCTGATGTTTTTTCAGGGGAAGGGAGGGGGAGGGTCTTAACTCTTAATGAAAAATCAGACCTCAACATCTCCTGTAGAGCCGAGGCCTCTGGTACTGGACCTGGAGCCTTTGAGCTCTGAGAGTTTATTGTAAACATCAGTGTGGCCAAAACCCACAACCGAGTGCTGTTCCTGGGAAGTGAGTGGATGAGTGTGTTTTTTTTTTAATTCAGCAAATAACATGGCTTCTCTCTGTATCTTTATTTCTCATGGGCTCTGGCTTTGCCAAGACGGTCAGTCTCTTTTATAGATAAATATATGCTTATTTTATTAAAAACAAAAGCCACTTAAATGCAGATGGTACGCTTCCTGCTTGCTAGTCCTCACAGATTCCTTGTTGCAACTGAAGCGGGCGTGTTACTTTGATAGCCGTATGAAATAACCTTAACTCTGCCTGGGGATATTTATAACAAAACATGCAGAATTATTGCACCATAAAGCCTGCTTCACTGATTCTTGCTGATTAAAAACTTTTTTTTAAAGACTAATGTAATAAAAACCAAAGACCCAACAGCTGGAGCTCTGAAGACAGCCCAATTGCAGCCACGGCAACTCCCCCTCTGCCCTTTGATTCAAACCCTGCGCCCAGAGCAGCCAGGCCTGCTCCGTGGCCCCTTCCCAGAGGCGCTTCATGCATCACCGACCTTCCCGCCCCAAGCCCAGGCAAGGGATGAATGGCCTTGGGAGGGACGGGCTTGTCTTTCTGCCACGCTGCAGGCCAGAGCCAAGTTTGGCTTCAGGAAAAACTAAAGCAGAGTAATCTCTGGTATTAAGCAAGGCCAACCCTGTCCCCTGGCAGACAAGCCAAACAGGACAGAGGCATTTCTAATTGATGCTAGAACCTTGCAGGGATAAGAAGTTGGCAGGAACTGACATAACCCTTTATTCCTCCTTCCAAGGTGCCCATTTACCGGGCATATCCTCTAGGGCACTGTGAAATCAGATCCATGAGTGGGGTTTTTTCCCTTGGCTGTTGGCCAGAATCAGACTGGTTTCGTCAGTCTCTGCGTGCGGACGTGGTGTGTGTTAATTGGTGCATTCAGTGTTAATCCGCATTTTCTTTAGGTGCTACCAGGAGCTTTCCCATAACCTCTACCACCACCACCCTCTTCTCTTTTCTCACATCCCCTCTTCCTTCTTCAACCCCTCCCCTGGCCACACACGTGCTCACACAGACTTAACACTTCATCCGTCAGAGTCAGAGGTTTCCCTAAATCTAGCGCGGTGGAAAATCTGTTAACAGAAAAAAGCATTTTCATATTCCTAACAGGTGACCAAAGAGAATTACAGCACATTCCTCCTAAGCCCCGCTGTCTGGGAGCTCGGGCTGAGAAGGAACTGCTGCTCTGTTAGAGGCGCCTCTGACCGCCGATCGCCGATCCTGGGTGACCCTCACCGCTTTTAATGAGACTGAATGGAATGAAAAGACTCATGAGCCAGGGAACACCCATGCGCCCCACACTCACTTAGAATACAAGCCTGTTGCTCTTACCTCTAGGTCTCCTGTGCACCCTCCTGATCCATCTCCTTCTCCCTCCCCTTGGAAGTGGTTCATCACCCTAAGTTGTGCGTTCATCAGTCCCTCTGATGTTGTTGTTGTTTTTTTTTAACATTTTCATGTATATTGAGTATCTCTCCCTAGAATATTCAGTTTGTAAGTCTCTGGACTTCATACGATGGAATGATATTCTGCACCTTGCTTCTGTCTGGTAACATCAGGCTCCTTGTGCAGTGTCGCTGCCACGCTGAGTACCATTGCGTGGCGATACTGATTCTGATGGACATTTAGACTGTTTTCAGGATTTTACTATTTCAAACTTCCCTGCTGTGCTATGTACATTCTAGGTATGTCTCCTTATTCAAGACTTGCTCTAGAAGCAAAATGACTGGTTCTAGAATGTGTTCATCTTCAATTCTCCAACGTGGCCGGGTCAGTTTCCACTCTGCTCCAGGGTAGTGAGTGTACCGTTTGTTTCCTTACCAACACTTGACATTGTCTTTTACCTGTGCCAATCCAGTGAGCAGAAAGTGGTAGCTCACTGTGGTTGCGATTTGAATTCCCTTCTTGGTTAATGAGGATGGGTATCTTTTAATATGCACATTTGCCATTGTGACGCTCCTATTCAAATATTTTGCCAATTTTTCTTAATGAATTTATAGAGATTCTTCATGTATTTTGGATTTGACCAGTCCTTAGTCAGTTATGTGTATTGCAGATACATACCCCCAATTTTGGCTTATTATTTCACTCTCTTTGTGGTGCCTTTTGATGAATAGAAGTTATTAATTTTAACATAGTTAAGTTCTCTCATCTTTCCCTTTAGAATTTGTATAATTGTGTCTAGTTTCAGGAATCCTTTCCTACCACATACAAGTTGATAAACATAGTCCTCTAAGTTGTTTTTTCAAAGTGTTGTAGTTTTATCTTTTGCACTTAGCTCTTTCTTTAGCCGAGCTTAAATTGATTTATTTTTTAATTATGTGAGTTCAGGGTCCAATTAAAACTTTCCCTCCATATGGGTAAGCCATATTCCACCAGTTTACTGATTAGTCCGTTCTTTCCATTGATCTGTAATGCAGCCAATTTCGTATCAATATTGGTCTCTTTGAGGCTCTCAGTTCTGTTGGTCAGTTTGTCTATCTCTAACACCATACTGTTTTATTTACTATGGCTTAAAATAAATGCTGATACCTTATGATGCCAGTTCCACACTCCTCCTCCCCCGTTCTTCTTCAAGACTGTCTTGGCTGCTACGCTGTTCTTGTCCCTTCACACTTCCATATAAATTTTAGAATCAGCTCATCAAGTTCTACAAAAACTCCATTGGTATTCGAGTAGAACTGAACTCAGTCTGTAGATGGATTTGGGGGAAATTGGTGTCTTTATCGATTAAAAAAATGTTATACTACTGTAAATTGTACTTTTTAAACAGTTTCTAGCATTATTTGTTGATAGATGAAAATGAAATTGATCTTTGTATATTGATTTTATATCCATCCAACCTCTTTACTAAAATTCCATCAATACTAATAATCTTTCTGGTAGATTTTTTAGGATTGTTTTTGAAGACAGCGCGTCATATGCAAATAACAACAGATTTGTTTTTTCCTTTGTGATCTTTACACTTCTTATTTCTTTTTCTTGCCTCCTGTTGGCTTGAATCTCTAGTACAAAGTGAATTAGAAGTAGTAAAGTGTGGACACGTTTATTTGTCTCGTACCTGATATTAAAAGACACACATGTGGTGTTTCACCACATGATGATGTCTGTAGAGTGGTATCTAGGCTGAAGAAGTTCCTTTACGCACTTTGGTTGTTAAGAGTTTTTTGTTTTTTTAAATCATGAGTAGTACTTCAACAGATACTTTTTTTGCTTTAATTGAGAAGATAAGATGACTTTACTCCTTTAATCTGTTGATGGAGTAAATTATATTAATTGATTTTCTTTTTTTTAATTGATTTTCTAACGTTTATGACCAATTAGGTCATAAGTGATTTTATGCAGTGCTGGAGTTTGTTAGTGTTTCTGGTTATTTCTTGTTGCAGAACAGACTACCTCAAAACTCAGTTGATTAAAACAATATCCATTTTATTTTATCTATAATTTTGCTGGTCAAGAATTTAGGCAAGACTCAGCTCAGGGATTTTCCTGTTTCTGTATGGACTCCTTGAGGTCACCTGGTGGAATTAACCTGGCAGATGGGCTGGTCAGGCGGGTCTAAGGCAGCCTCATTCATACGTCTGGTGCCTTGACAGAGATGGCTGAAAAATTACTCATCTGGGATTGTCAGTCACAGCGCCTTCATGTTGCCTCGGTAGCTGGCACTCGCAGGCTAGTCTTACTCCTTACGTGGCTGCTCAAGGCTCCTAGAGGACATTTCTAAGAGACTAAGGCAGAAGCTACGAGCTTCTTCTCACCAGCCTAGGAGGTCATGCCGTAGCACATTCTATTGATGAAGCACTTTTCTAGAGCCAACCTAGATTCAAGGGGGAAAGAGTTAGACTCTACCTCTTAGTGGGAGAAGTAGCAAAAAAAAAAAAAAGGTGCAGTCATCTTTAATCTGCCATTGTTAACTAGCAGTTTATTATTTTTACATCTATATTTCATAAATGAGATTGCAGTTTTCCTGTTAACTATGCTTACCTGTTTTTGATGCCAAAGTTATGCCAGCCTCATTAAAATGAGATGGTGAGCCTTACCTATTTTTCTCTATGATAAAATAATCTAAAACTAGTTTCATTTCTTGAATGTTGGTAGAATTAGCTGGTAAAATCATTTGAGCCTTTCTTTTTGGAAAAATTTTCAAATATTGTTTTGATTTATTTAATGGTTACAAGACTATTTGAGTTTGCTATTTTTTTCCTTGAGTTAGTTATATTTATCTAGTAGTTTTTCATTTCATGTATGTTTTCAAACTTTTTGGCATGAATTTGTTTATGATAATCTCTTAAATCTTTGCGGTATCTGCGACATCAATAATTATGCCTCATTTTTCATTTCTGATATTGTTATCTGTGCTGCTCTTTTTGTCTTGATTGATCTTGCCAGAAATGTATAAATTTTATCAGTTTTGCCCCAAAACCAGCTTTTGTCTCTTTTGATTCTCTCTATACTTTTGTCCTCTATTTCATTAATTTCTTATCTCTTTTATCTTTCTTTGGGTTCATTCTATTCTTTTTCTATCTTCTTAGGTTGTATGCTTAGCTCATTACCTCTATTATAAATTATGTATTTTAGTGCCTTTGAGTTATAAGCATAGTTTAAAATTTCTAACCATTAGGAAGTTATCTTTTTGTTATTGATTATCATTTAACTACATTGTAGTCAGACAGTGTGGTCTGTGTGATACTAACACTTTAAAATCTATAGTGTGTTATCACTGAAAATAATTTATGTTTTGTAGTTGGTATAGTTTTCTACAAATATATATTGGATCAATCTTATGGTGCTGTTCCAATCTTCTGTATTTGTACAGGGTTCTTTGCTGTTTTGTTTTATTTTTTGTTGTTGTTTTGTTTTGCTTTGTATTCTTGGTGTCTCAATTGCTGGGACAGGTGTAATAAATGTTCCGACCCTAAGAGTGGATTTATTTATCTCCCCTGTAAGTATCAACATTTTTTCTTTTATATATTTAGAAGCTATATTTTTAAGTGTTATACATGTCAAAAGTTGCTCCATTTTCCCAGTAAACTTAAACTTTAATCACAATATAGTGATTCTGTTTATTTCTAGTAGTGCTTCTTGTCTCGGTGTCTATTTTGTGTGCTATTAATTTAGGCACCTCAACTTTTTTGATTAGCATTTTCCTGGACTATCATTCTCAGTCCTTTTTACTTTCACCTTTTATGTTCCTGTGTTTTAAATGCGTTACCTATAAACAGCATATAGACAGATTTTTTTAAACTGAGATTTTACCAGTTTTTTTATTGATTGTGATTACTGATTATATTTGCCATTTTATTAAAAACTTTCTATTTGTCTTAACTTCATTTCTTTTTCTCTCCTTACCTGGCTTCTTTTATCTTTTTAATATTTATTCCTTATTTTAACTTTTTTATTACAAAAAAATTTTAAACACATACAGAACTGGAGAAACCACTTCTCAGCTTTACTGAAGATCAATAAACTTCTTCTGTCCTCTATATTTTCCACAACCCAACATTAAATTGTTTTTAAGCAAAACAAAGCCATCATATGACTTCATTCATACATTCCTCAGTGTGTACCTATAATATTTAAGAGGTCTTTTATAAAACAAAACCACATTATCATTTCACATAATAAAAAAAGTAATTCTTTAATATCATTAAATATCCAGTTAGTGTTCAAATTTTCCTAATTGTCTCACATACACAATTTTTTTTAACTGTTGGTATCTTTGAATTGGATCCAATAAGGCCCACCTGCTTCTTTCTTCTTTTAGAGTAAAAATTATTTCTACCTCATTTTCCCCTTTCTATTCCCCTTACCTGAAAATGATACACTTTTTTTTTTCATTTTTTCTTATTCTATCACCAGAGTCTAAGGCTCATCAGTATTTTTTCTCTCTTTCTGAACAGTATATGATTTGGGGGGCACTTTAACTCCTATCAACAAACCCTTCCTCTAATTTCAGATTATATGCTATAATGTTTTATATTTTGATTCGCTAATTCTCTGCTCAGTTATATCCAATCTGCTGTTAAACTCAACTACTGAGTTTCACATCATAAACATTTTAATTTCTTGAAGATTTTAAAAATTCTTTTTCAAATATGGCTGCATATAGTCTCTTGTCTTTACTCGTGTTTTAAATTCCTTATTTTGTCTTTTAAGATGTATATTCTGTGTCTCATAATTCCACGGGTCTGATTCTCCTGTGTGCGTGTTTTTCTCCAGCTTGCACTCACTCGTGTTTTGTTTCCTTACGTATTTTGTGACTCTTGACTGTGAGCTGACTTCTGTGGGAATTCTTTGCAACTTGATTGAAGAGTTTCTCTTGGGAAGATTAGTATCTGGGGCACCTCCTGTCATAGACACCTGTAAACTAAATATTCAACTTAAAGTTTTTCCTTCCTCCTCAGTTCAAGGTTCACAGAGTTCCTTGCACCTCCTCGGAGGAGGAAATAGATGAGCCTATTTCTCACTCACTCGTACAAGGAAGATAAAACCCATTGGGGTTCTAACTTTATGTAGGGGGTGTTCTACTAGACTCCGCGCCTTGATTGGACCTGTTTCCTTCCCCCAACAAGGCTGTGAAAAACAAAATTTTAGTTCACTGTCACCACAAATGTCATCAAGGAGAAAGCTGGCTTCGGAATTCTGCTTGTCTCTCTGGTTTTTCACTTGTTTTCAGTCTCCTGCCATTTTTCTGGCCAGACTCAACAATGCTTGTCATAGACCAGCATTGTTCATTGTTTTTCATGGGAGGATGGGTCAGCACATCTTCTCCATCACGCCCTAGAAGCAGAAGTCCTTCCAATGGTTCCTACTCCAGTTCCTACTCCCAGAGCGCTGGTTCTTGTTAGACAAATTTTGGGGAGTTTCCAACTTGAATCAAGCAAGTCCCCCTGGCGGCTTTGCAGTCCGTGTCTCCATCTCTTTCAGATGCACCTTCTCCTCTGCACCTAGACACCAGACCCTCAGAGGCACCTCTGCTTACTTACACTACAAAGTACAGGGAGACCATCAGGTATGAGTTCTCTCATACTCTGTCCTCGCCGCTTTTCCTCTTTATCCTGTTAATCCTCCCTACTTATTCTTCTTTTAAGTCCCATTTGGAAAAGTCCCTATTTCCAAGGCCAGCTCCTCTCTTCTTGCCATGAATACCATCTTTGCAGTTGGTACTTCTCCCTCCTCACACGCTTCTGTTGCATCTTTGCCCGTCATCCTGGTGCTAATTTTACAAGGCTGAATATGGTACTTTCTCTTCTGTGATGCCTTTTGAAGTGTCCTTTCCTTTTCATCCCACACTTCCTCTCTGCACTCCAGTAGCAGTTTATTGCCAACATGAACAAAGGACTGAACTCTGTCCTGCAGTATTACTGTGTGTGTAACAGTCATCTCTCCTGCTAAATTGTGGGCTCCTTAGAGAAAGCACTGTTTTTCATTTTATTATGATTTCTTACTGTGCTTTGCACATGGTGGCTCATTGTCAGTTAACACATGAATTCCTCCTTGTCTTTTCTAGAAATCAGCCTTTCCAATTAGCTCTTTTCCTTACTCATTCTCCATCTTCACTAGACCCCTCCCTTCTCTAGTCAGACACATGCAAGTATTTGACTTTGAAGGGAAAGAAAATTATCTTCACTTGGTCCTGCTGTTCCCTTTTTTTAATCTTTTTTCCTTCTAAATATCTCAAACATATGGTCTATGACTTCTATCTTCTTCCTTTGCCCTGAGTCTTTCTCAACCATCTGTAATCTAACCTCCACCCTCAGCGCTTGATTGCGATTACACTCTTAAAAATGAAATTGTTCCTTCTATTACCAGCACCTCCTCTTGTCCGCGACTCTGAGCACTCCTGCTGGGAAAGCATCCTCTGCCCGGGTGACCCTGCAGGGCCTGGTGCCCCTCCTGCCCCGTGACGGCTCCACCCAAGCCTCTTCTCAGTCCACAGCATACCCGTCTGGACTGAGGGCTCCCCTGCCTTCATGACTGTAGCCTTGATTAATGGGGCTTCTTTTCGCACCCTCCATCTAATCTCTTCTAAATCTAAAATCTTACATCCCTAAATTCTCTGAAGCATTTTCATTTAGTGTCCCAATGCTCAAGATGGCTGACTGTCTTTCCTAAATTTTTAACATTCATCTCTTCCATCACCTCCTGGGTCATTTAGATTAAAAAATCTCCATGTAGTTTGGTTCCTCCCACTTTCTCACGCCTCTCTCCCTTGCCTCCTGTTAGGCTGGCTCAGCCTTCACAGCATCCCTGTCCCTTCCGCCTGCCATTACTCTGGTTTAGGGTCTCATCCCCGGATCAGTGTGCCACGTTCTGTTATCGGCCTCTTTCCTTTCTCAGCCAACTTGCCTCGTGTCCCAGGAATTTCCCTTGGGATATGGTGAAAGGCTCTGGAAACAGAGTGTGGATTTTAGAATCAGATGAGCCAGGATCTGAACCCCAGCTCCACTGCTTACTGGGTGGGGAGTGTCAGTTTCCTCAACTGCTACGAGAGTTGGATTTTAGGGAGTTTTAAGTGAGATGATATAAAAAGGTAACTTCCATATTCAACGAATCAGTCTGAGCAGTTAAGTAACCTTCCCAAGGTCACAGTCTATAAAGCAGAGCACATCTGTGAAAAGATTTTTCACACATCTTACAGGTCAAGGTGAATTAAGCCTCTAATTGGCTTGTATTAATGAGCTCATATTCCTAATGTCTAGAAACAAATTCTAGATTCATCTGGTTCTTCAGGCTCCAAGAGAAGCACTGACTGTGACGGGACTGGAGCAGGTCCAAACTGATGTCAGGGGCCGGGACCTTACAGACAGGGCCGTGCGGGGTTGGCGTGGAGGCCAGCACGTGCAGACGCGGGGAGGAGGGCACGGCGAGGAGAGGGAAGATCGTGTCCAAAGGACCCCTGCCCAGCACGACTGTCCCTGGAAAATGAGAAAGGATGTGGAGCTCATTGTGTGTTTTTACGATGTTCAGCGTATTTAATCCTTTTCTGCCTACGGCGGTTCACTCTTCACAGGGGTCTTGGGGATTTGGCCAATTGTGAGAATGTCTGTGGTGATATTAAAGCTCACTGTATGAGGTTGGCAGCCATTACTTTCAAACCATAAATTTCATCCTTTAAAACAATGAGAATGACCGCTTTGAAAAAGTCCATTTGATGATGGAAAGTACAGTCATAGGAAACACAAAAACAAAACTCAGGGTCCCCACTTCTGTCTCAGTCCTGGCTCTGACTGGGGTCAGGCGTCCACGCCATGTGAGGGGCTGGAGTCTCCCCGCCAGGAGCCTCTGTGATGGACACTGTGGTGGAGCCACGAAAACACCCAGGAACATAATCTTAGAAAGAATGGAGGGAGGAAGGAAGAGGAAAGCACCTCGGTCCATGACAACCCCCTCTTCTTGTCTACTTGGGGTCATACGTCTGGTCTTCAACACGGAGGCAGCGTGGCCTCGACTTACTCTCCCTCCCCTGTGTCGGGGAGCTGTGTCTTCTCCCTTCTGCTTCACACTCTTAGACCAGTGGCTCCAGGGAGCCGTTCACTCAGAACTCCTCAAATATAAGCGTTTTGTGCTAAATGCTGCATGTTATTCTCTCCTGGAGATTCAGTGACCATCTTAATTCCACTGAATTAAGACCCTTCTGTTGCAAATAGTCTTTGGGGCCAGGGCGATAGTCCTTGGGTTGTTCCCAGGGCCCACGGCAGGCCCTGGAGGAGGGCAGCTTGAGGAGTTACAGAAACTCTCACCTCTCCGGGGATGGCTGTGTGTCCGTGGGTTTTTGGCGGGAGCTCACTAGTGAGCTGGGGAGGACACACTGGAGGAGGGAGCAGAGTCTCTTTCCAGCCTGCTCACAACCATAAGCTCTTGGTTGCTCCTCTCTAAGACCCCTTTAAATAATTTGCTTCCCTGTGTTTTCCTCTCTCTGATAGAAGGAGGAAATCCACTTTCCTGTGCTGATGGATACTCTGCTGCTAGTTTAAACACGTAAAGTATGGTATAGGGACGGAAAAACTTGAAACAGTGTTTTGGGAAACAGCTTGCTTTATTATGGCAACTGAAGCCACTGGCTGGTGTGCGGTGGGCATGGGGCAGCAGGGATGGGGAGTATGCTCAGGAGAAGCACTGGGAGTACCCCCGCCCCCGCACCATGGACATTGTCAGAGGCCAGAGGTCACAGATAAAATCCAGGGCAGAGGGTTCACAGGGGAAACTGGTGCCTCTGGATGGGCATCCCACAGTGGTTATTACAGGGCAGTGAGGACAGTAATTTTGTGAAAACTCAGCCTTCCATCCAGACTGGTTCTAACTGCTCGAATTCTCTGAACCCTCTGGATTGAAGATATTTACTTTGGGGAGCTGAGCAGAAGTCCCAACAGTCAGTCAACATTTATTAGACTCTCACCGTCTGCAAGCGTGTCCACCTTCCCACTTCACACTCACAGCACCGCTGGGACTTGTGGCAGCAGAGTATTTTTATACCCATTTTACAGATGAGGAAATTGAGGCTTAGCAGGGCCGCATCACACCCTCCATGAAGCTGGGTAAGAAGCCCGGGCTCCCACTCTGCACGTTCCACTTCAGGGGACAGGTTGGAGTCTTGTGTGGAAAACTCCTCACATTCCAGGCAGAACTTCAAGCACTAGAGAAATAAGAACCTAAGAAATCACATCCACGTTGGAAAGCTTGCTGCCTTTCACGCCATCCGTCCCCTCGGAGAGGGTCTGGCTGGGTCTCTTCTCAGCGGGTGAGAACAGGCAGAGCCTTCTGTCCACAGGGCTTCCTTCTGTGGGACACGGAGTCTGACCCTGAGCCCAAATGGGATTCTGGGATCACCCGGGGCCTGTCCTTGCTGGATGAGCCCAGGGCTCGAGGGCAAACGGGAAGTAGGAGGGTCCTCCCCAACCCTGTGACAATGCAATTTCTTTTTTCTCTCCAACACTACCTTCTCCTAGGGATGCAGTGGGAGAAATTCTCAGGGAGTTCCAGAGGAGTTTGGCTAACTGCTGTAACATATGGAGAAGGGGACTGCGGCTGCCAGCACTTAAACCTTCGATGTGGCAGTGCTGTTTTCAAGGCAGCACTGGCTTCTGACTCCAGCAGCGAGCTGCAGGCCGGCCGCGGGGAAGCCCGAATGATTTACTCCAGCTGCAGCGCAGGCCCGACCGGCTGGAGAAGAGAGAGTCTGGAAAAGTTGTCTCTGAAGTAAGTTGCTTATATGCCATTAAAGACACAAGTTGAATAACTTGTCTTTAGTGGCATATAACATTAAAAAATTTGTCAATATCCCATAAAAGATTTAAAAAATATTTTAAAATCTTGTGTTTGAAGAAAAACCTCAAGTAGACCTTGGAGATATGCAGGTTTGGTTCCCAACCACTGAAATAAAGAGAATATTGCAATAAAGTGAGTCACACAATTTTTTTTGGTTTCCCAGTGCATAAAAAGTTACGATGACACGATAGTCTATTAAGTGTGCAATAGCATTAAGTCTGAAAAACAATGTACATGCCTTAATTAAAAATACTTTATGGTTAAGAAATTCTGACCAGCATCTGACAACACAGGGTTGTCACAAACCTTTAATTTGAAAAAAACAAAAAGCCTGACATCTGTGAAGCGTAATAAAATGGAGCTGTGCCTGTAAAATAGCAGTAACGCGACGATACAAGCACAGGGCCTTTCCAGGCCGAGACTGGAAACTGCCATCTGCTGGGGACGGGTTCATCCCCTAAACCACACCCACAGCTGGCTTCCCCGGCCTGTGGCCTAGATGGTCACACAGGGCCTGCGCTCAAGACCCTGAACTTGGTGCAGTGCCCTCCTGCTGCCATCCTGAAATTCCGAACACTCGTTCAGCAAGGGGCCCTGTGTCTTCATTTTGCGCTGGGGCCCTGAGCTATGTGGCTGTGCCTGCCTCACTGGTTCCCTGTCCCTGCAGAATGAAGTCCTGACCTGTAAGCTCCCCGGGCCCAGCCCCGCACACTTCCCGGCCCTCCCTTCTGCTCTCTGCTCCGGGCTCAGGGCGGCTCTTCCCAGGCTCGGCTCCTCTGCACTCCCCGCACGGGCTCTCGCCTCTGGCTGTGCTGGGCTGACCCTGGCCTGGGAGGCTTCTCCCTCCTCCACCTCCTCGGGCAGTGTCCTCTTCTCCTTCCTCCCTCCTTGAGCATCCCTCCTCCTGCCACTGGTCCATCTCGGATGCTCACATCCCTGTGCAATCATCCGCCACACCCTCCGTGTTACACCTGCATCCTGTGTGTCTGCCCCTCCACCCAGTGAGCCCCTCCAGGCAGGCACTGGGCCCAGCATCCATCCCCAGCCCCAAACGTCAGAGGCGGGGTGTGGCACGAGGCAGGGCCAACTTCTCCACTAGGTACAGCACACACAGGGCCTGGGGCCCAGCAAAATGTTTTAATTTCTTTTAAAAACAGAAGAATGACTATGATAATAATAAATATATAATATTAATATATAAATCCAGCCTGGATTATATTTGTCTTCATGCCAATACAGTCATAAAATATAATTTTTCCTGTTTTTTTTTTTTAATAGAGGAAGGGGCCCACAGAGGTAAAGGTGCCTTGGATCCCAAAAGGCCCAGCATGGCCCTGTGTGTTTGGCATTACCTGTATTATCAGATGCCCCATAACTTCTGTCCTCAGGTTCCAGCAGCAGCAAGAGAGTAAGCCAGACAATTCTGAAGGTTTGTTAAGAGTGGGTGGGAAACGTGCTCTGAGATCCCCCTGCCCCCAGGCAGCCTAAGAGAACAGTGCGCTGTGATCACGGCTTTAGGGGGGGAGGCTGCCGTGACTGCCGATCCGTCAAGGGCGCAGGCTGGCACCGCTCCTCCGGGCAGGCCCTCCTGGTGAGGCGTGGAGCAGGGCGCACTCTGCCTGTTCTCCCTCCACGGGATGAAGGCCCTCTGGTATCCTGGGGACCCAGGCAGCCCCCAGGAGTCTTTGCTGGAGTGGATGCTGGTCATGAAAGCTTAATTCTTGCGTTTATTTTTTTTCAGGAAATTCCTTTTAACTCCTGGCTTAATGGAATAGTGAGAAGCAAGTGATGAACAACAAAGGTTCTTCATGCCTCACGGGTAAATTCATTACCTCCTCTGTGTCTGAGGGCACTAGGAGCCTTGGGACAAATGCCTGTAGGGTGAGTCACAAAACTCCCCTGAGGTCAAGCACCCAGAACTGACAGTGCAGTGGGCTTGTGGGGGCACCCTTGTGTCACTGCGGGGGCCCAGGATGAGCACTAGGGCAATCTGGATCAAGGTACCAGCACCAGTGTTTCTAGCTGTGAGTGGGGCAGTGCCCTTCCCAAGCCATGATGGTATGCCAGGTTCTGGGCAAAAGACTACAAGCACTTCCCAGTTCAGCCTCACCACAGTGCTCTCAGGGAGGTACCATTGCACCCATTTCACAGAAGAGGAAACTGAGGTATAGAGGGGATATAGAGAGACAAGATGAATTGTTCAGTGGATGACCCTCAAGGTGTCTGGCAACAGGGTCTCTGGGACAGAGGTGGGAGGGCTGGCCATGGTCTTGACTTGCTCACTGTCTCCAGATCCTGGGCACTGGCACTCCAGCACCTCTTTGAACAGACCCTGTCTATGCTCAGACTTCTGAGTACCCTGACACGATTTGTCCCTCACCCTTCAAGATTGCTTTTATGGCTGTTAGAAAGAGAGCTTTTGTCCCCTGGAGCACAAGCATGGTGCTCCTGCAGGGGGAACAGCACCCAGGCCCCAGCTGCCCCTTCTCCCCGTGAGTTCCAGCATCCCCAGTGACCAGCGCAGCTGCCTGTGTCCGTTAGCATAACCGAGGTCACACAGCTGGCCAGAGGCTGAGCCAGGACTTACACTTCACTGAGTGAGTCTAGAACCTGTGCTCTGTGCGGGAGGGTACAGCTCAGTGGTGGAGTGTGTGCTTAGTGTGCACGAGGGCCTACGTTCAATCCCCACTTCCTCCATTAAAAAAAATGAATAAATAAACCTAATTACCTCCCCCCACAACCAGAAACACACCCAGTTATTAGAACCTGTGTGCTGAACCACTGCTTTCTACTGAAGTCTTTCTGCTTAAGTGCTGTTTCTTCATCAGAAACAGCCTAAGTAAACCTTGCCCTGGCTTTCTCCCCAGGTGTCTGGGAAGGTCAGAAGAGCTGATGCAGGCAAAAGCACTTGGTAAGTTGAAAGTGCTATGCTTCTTGGCTTAATACCCCCCCCATCACTCACCCCCTTCACCTTCAAATTCCTTAGTCAACGGCTGACTTTGTTGTCTTGATTTGGGGCAGAAACGATTTCTGATAAGCAAAATTACTGTCACGTGCAAGGTCAAAGCTCTCTCGGTGGCTATATTTCAGGATGGTGTGGTGACAGGAGGATGGCAGGCCGATGTCAGGATGTCTGACTTCTGGTCTCGGTCATGTCATTGTCCTCATTTTCCACCTTTAAATGTGGGCGCCATCCTTTCATTCTCGAACACTCTGCTATGACCAGACTCTCTTAGACACTGGGGACAGGAAGAAACTCTCACTTCTGGCCTTGAAGAGGTGCAGCCTAGTCTTCCCGGCTGTGTTTTGACTGTAGATCATACTGTTGTTTGCAGCTGTGTGCTGCCCTTCTTGTGAGAGGACTGTTTTCCTCTGTCTCAGTAACGTTGACTTGGGCGGGTGACTTCCACTGGCCACCGAGATGTGAGTGACAGTGGCATGTGGACTTGTGAGCACGTCTCCACCGCTCCTTTGGTTCTTCTTCCTCTGTGATGATACCAGCTTGCCCCAGAGAGGGCTGCACCCGCAGCCTTGGTTCTGGAATGGAAGCAAAGCTGTAGTTGACTCAGAGAAGACGTGAAGTGTGAGCGAGAAAAAAACCTGTTGTTGTTGTTGTAAGACTCAGATTTGGGGGGGACATTGGTTCTGCAGCCTAGCCCAGCAAAAGCTGAGTGATTCAGAAGGAAAGAAGTGGGCTCTACTTTTCTGCTCCCTTGTTTTATCCGTTTGGTGATAAACACAGTAATCCTCATGACTAAATTGATAGATTTCATGTAGCGTAAAAACTTGGTTCATTCCTTTCTTGTCTTGTGAGCCTTGGGGTCTAGGCAGCCACGGAGGAAGTCCACCGCCCACTTGCCTACGGCCCTGGTGGCCCTTGGGTCCCAGACTTGAGCATTTCTGTGCCACTGTTTCTGGTGAGTGGTTGGTTCTTTGTGTCGAAATTGCCCTGAGCTGCTTCCCTGCCCACGTGTGTAAAAGGCAGGATCCTGGGGTGGTTTGTCCTTCGTGTTGAGTTAGGAGTTCACACTGGAAAGAAGCTCTCTGTTAGACAATCGTGAACGGGGTGCAGAGGAGGCTGCTGCCTGTCTGCTTTCCTGAGTTCCATCAGAATCCACCCCTGACAGGTGCCCTGAGTCCCTTCTCCCTTTTGTCTCTAATTTCTTCTGTTTACTCGTGGTTACTCTTTTTCTTTCCCGTTGCATGGAACTGGAGGCGCAGAGCCAGCCCCTGCAGACGGTCCGACTTGGAAGACAGAGTTTCTTCGTGCTAGTACTGAGCACCTCCCACAGCCTCACGTCCCCGTAGGATGGCACTACCCAAGGCCCGCCCTGCCTGCCCCCTTCCCTCCCTCTTTCACTCCTTCATCCTTTCTTTCTTCCAGCAAATAGACATTGAGCCCCAGGGATATTCCAAGTCACCACTGTAGGCCCTGGAGAGGCTTCAGTGAATGAAACAGATCAGGAGGTTCCTCCCAACAGCTGGGGGAGTGGGTTGGAATGTCGTTCTTTTATGCAGGAACCTGCAATATTGGTATGATCCCATTATTTTTTCAGTTATTGTAAATGCAGACCTCTGGGTAGAGGTAAGACTGACGGATGAGCAGATGAAGGCAGGACTGGGAACAGAAGGTCACTAACAGTCTCTCCTGGAAAATCTCTCTGTAGGTTTATCAGGCTGGGCCTTGCTATCTTCTAAAGGTTGGAGCTAGGATGGGGATAAGAGACCGTTAAGTCCAGCGCTCTGCGGAATTTCTACCCAGGGGCCCTAGAGGGAGGGCAGCGCAAATCACTGTGCCTGAATGAGACAGACTTAGCGTGAAGCTGCCAGATAGAAGGGAGGTGTCTTTGAAATATCTTTTGTGATTTAAACATTAATCTAACTTTTTGCATGCTTTTTATATCATAGCTATTTTTTTCATATAAAAATTATCCTCCCAAGACTATATATTGTATGATAACACTTACATGCAATGCCCAGAATAGGCAAATCTCTGGAGACAGAAAGTAGATTAGTGGTCGCCTAGGGCTTCAAGGGCCGGGGAACAGGGGAGGAGACAGCTAAATGGTGCAGGCTTTCTTTTTAGGGTGATGGAAATGATCTAAAATTGATTGTGTGATGGTTGCACATTCCGTGAATATTTAAAAAAAACCACATTGAATCATGTACTTTAAATGGGTATGTTGTATGTGATATGAATTATAGCTCATAAAGCTGTTAAAAAAATTGTCCCCCCCAATCTTCATGTAAAGTTGGCATTCTGGTAAGTTGAGTAACGTGTACGTTTCCACCATTGAGTAAGCTGGGGTTAAATGCATCCATTTGAGAAGGGAGATTCTGGTCTAACCTTACCGGTTACAGATTTATAGAAGCCTGAGGAGGAGATGGGACTTGCCCAAGGCCTCCAGAGTAGGGAGCAAAGCCAGGCTTCTGAGTCCCAGTCCAGGGCCACAGGGGAAGCCTCCGAATGTGCTTTGCGCTCAGCTTGGCATCCACCTTGTTTCACTTCCCTGCATCATCTACTTTCTGAGTCGGTTCAGCCACATATGGTCCCTGGTCTGTGTGTTTAGCCCTCTTCTCTTGGCTGTCTCTGGCTTTCCATGTCCTGCATGTTCCCAAAACAAGTGGCTAAACCTGCGGACCCCTCACCCTCACCTTCCGCAGGGGCTGGGTGGCCGTGGCGGGTGGAGGAGGGGCCCCACCCGTTCTTGCCAAGGGCGCCACTGAGCCAAAGGCCGGCTCTGCCTTCAGAAGCTGTGGGAGGAAGAGCCACTGTCTGTTTAATCATGAAAGAACCAGCAGTATCTGGATGGAATCTCAGCCAGGACACTTTCATCCTAACCTGTCCAGCGTTAGGCAAGCTGTGAACATGAGCTGCTGCCATCAGAGGTGAGGAGGGCTTGTGTGTTACCTACAGCCCCCACGCCGGCCTTCTCCACATCACCCGTGCCCAGGGACCCACCAGGGTGTCCAGAGCGAGGCCCCTCCCTGCCAGTGAGGGGCAAGCTCATAGTGTCTCTGGTGACCTTGGGGTCTGCCTTCCACTTGGCTCTGTAGAGTTCCTGCATCCGTTTGTTCTTGAGATCTTTACAAAGGTCTTGTGACATAGGCAAGGCAGATATCATTTACCTTCCTTTTTCAGATATGGAAACCAAGGCTTAATGCAAGTTATTTGCCCAAGGCTTTTAAGCCAAACAAGTGAGGGAGCTGGGTCTGCTCCAGACTGCGAGACCAGGCTATTTCCACCACACCCCAAGCCCAGCTCAGCAGCAGCCATGGGGAATAGTGCAAAAAGTGGCCCATGGCCTTAGAGGGACAGTGTGAACATTCATCATCAAGCATTTGAAGACCAGCTCCAGAATCGTTTCGTTTTAAATCCATGCCCAGGGCTGAAATTAGACTTAGAAGATGTGAGAGACAGCAGTCCTCAGTGTACTCAGAAGTTATCTCCTCACAACTAACTGTCCCCTCCTCCCTTTCAGGCATGTGAGAGGTCAGGAATGAGCGGTCGTCGGCAGGGATGACAGTGTGAAAGAGTTCACATGGACAGTTTAATGCCCAAGTGTCCAGCAGATGAGCGACCGGCCCTGGTCACTCCAACAGGGAGCTAGTCCTTACAGAGCCCAGAGAAGGAAACGTTTGAAGGAAGTCTGGGGTCTGGAATGAGGGGGTCAGGACATAGTTATTTCCCTGCCAGACAAGATCCCCCGCCCCACTGATTGAAGTTCAGATGTCTTATTGTTTTTGAATTAGATTCATAAGATTAAAAATAATCTGATTATCTAGTCTAGAATTTTTAAAGCACTTTTAAAAAGCTTTAGAACTCTTTTTCCCCCAAAATAAATAAAAATTCATACATCTGAGAAAAGGAAATCTGGGTAAAAGCAGCACTTGGGGGGTGAGCTACCCAAGGCCCCATCCTCCAATTGTTATGGGAGCCCCTCCAAGTCCTCGAACTGCCCTGAAGACTGCTGGTTTAGTCTCTCATTTCACATACGGGGAAACGAGGTGTAATAGTAGTGCTCATGAGTATATTTTACCACATCTTACTGTGTGCTTGTCTTTTTATTCCCAATGGCCCCACAAGACAGGTGTTATGTTCTGGAATTATCAGAAGAGGAACTTGAGCCTCAGGAAGGCTAGGCAACTTGCTGGAAGTCTCCCAGAGAATGCGTGCAGGACAGAGGGCTTATGTCCAGGACTGGCTGGCTGCAAAGGCAGCTCTGGGCCAAGTGCTCAAAAACACAGATTTCCCCCAGACCCAGGCTTTGTAGGAACAAGACCTTAATGTTGAGACTTGATGTAGATTTGTTTTTCTACCCCAGAAAAGGCCAGCTTTCATGATACCTACTTTGAACAGTGGAAGAGCCCTAATTGATAGGTCTTCGATCGAGTATGTGGCTGTTGGTGTCCTAGAGGAGGTGTTGGCTGTTTGTCAGTGACTGAGACAAAAGTCAGACCAACTTCTGAAAGTCGCCTTGAAGCTGGGGCAGCAGGGACGAGGTGTCTCCATCCCTGACACAGAACGATGCTGTCACTGAGAATGACTTCTGCTGATAGTTGATGTTTGTGCAGGGAACTTGGCATTGTAGAAAGTTAAGAACTTTGGAAGCATCTGGCCCAGTGCCCTCATTTTACAGATTCAAAAAGTGAGATATGGAGTCACAAAAAAGGAAGAGGAGGAGGAAGAGGAGATGGCCCAGGGAAGCCACGCCCCCAGCAGTGCGGTGGTTGTGGTGG